TCTATTACTAGAGGATAATTTGTTATATCTTCCAAGAAAGTTCACTTTAAATTTTCAGTTACGAAAATATTAAAAATTGAAGCATGCTCATAAGTTCAACATTTCATTACACATTCTACATTTTAAGTTTTTTTTTGCATTGTTTTATCTTCTTTCTTTTATTTATAGAAAATGAATATTTTGAAAATTATTAATATATATTTATTCAACTGTTGTTAGTAGTCGTTGTTGTTGTCACGGTTGTTGTGCGCATCCTGTTTTAGATGTTGTGGTAGGTGTTGTACCTATTTTCATTACAATCTTCATCGTAGTGAATCCTTAACATACAAAATCATGAAGTGACATATATATATATATATATATATATATATATATATATATATATATAACTTAGTACATTTTAAATACATAAATATATTTATTTAGCACGATGCGCTGATTCGGACGCCTACGAATGAATGACGTCTGAATGATGCCTAAAGCAGAAAAGAACGACCGTTATTCATATAAGCCTACCAATGACACTCATAAACACATTAGCTAATTAATTTTTCTTCGTTTAAAAATCAGAGCTGCACTGAAGATAAAATTGAAATAACTCTATCTACTATATGAAGTTAGATCGTATGGATTTAGAATTTAGATGTTTATAGACCCAATAAAAATTAAACACTTTCCAGAAAAGTTTAAAAAAAGAACTACAAATTAGTCAATGCCAAGAGTTCGCTAGAAATCGTACAATACTGCGTTAATTATTGTCTCTTTTCTACACATACACACACACACACACACACACACACACACACACATATATATATATATATATATATATATATATATATATATATATACATACATACATACAGAAATGTGGAGTTGAATGCCGACGGGGTTGAGTGACGTTATAGCAAATAAAATCAAATTTAGTCAGACGCTTGGCTTTTGGTGTCATTCGTCAATGATTTGGTTTTAACATACATACATACATATATGCTTATGCTTTGTAGAAGACCCAAATTAATGCAGTAATTTATAAAATCTACCAAATTTGATATTAGCCAAGGGATCGCTTACTAGCCAAAGCGATCGCCGACCGTCTGGTCAATGTAGATTTAGAGCCGGACGCAACACAACGGATATGGTATTCACAGCAAGACAACTGCAAGAAAAATGTCGTGAGCAGCAACGAAGACTGTCAATGGTTTTTGTTGACCTGACCAAAGCTTTTGATTAAGTTGATAGGTCGGCACTTTTGCGCTGCTTGTCAAAAATTGGTTGCCCCCAGGCTTTTATTACCATTGTTTTTTCCTTCCGTGAAGGTATGAAAGCGAGTGTGATTGAAAATGATGAACGGTCTCAGGATTTTGATGTTGCAAACGAAATCAAGCAAAGATGTATTTATGGCTCCATTGCTCTTCAACATTTATTTTCATTGATGCTCTAAGTTCTTTTTCAAAATATTTCAAACAATGCAACTATCGATGACAATATTACAGCAAGGCTTGCCAAAGCAAGTGCTGTTTTTGGTATGTTGTCCGGACGTTTTTGGAAAGAGCACGGAGTTACCTTGGCCACCAAAATTCCGGTATGCAGAGCAGTTGTGCTCATTTCACTGTTGTATGGCTGCGAAATCTGGACGTTCTACGTTCGACGAGTTTCATATGAGATGTATGAGTATGATTGCTGGTATCAGGTGGGAAGACAAGCTCCAAACATAATGATTCTGGCAAAGTGCGGTACAATGGGTATAGAATCGCTTCTGCTTCAATCTCAATTTTGTTGAATATGGCATGTTATACGTATGCCAGACACAAGAATTCCCAAGCAAGTCTTTTTGGTCACTTGCGTCAGGAAAGCGACTGGCAAGTGGCACTGTATGTAGATACAAAGAGAGCTTGAAATAAAAAAGTATAAAATGTGATTTAGACCACAAGGCCCTTTGTGTCGATGCTCTGCGGCACTCGGGATGGAGAAAGTTTACTCAGTCGGCAGTTTCCGCTTTTGAACTGGCACGTACTGCTGTCGTCGATGAAAAAAGAATTCGATGAAAACGGACGGGCATAAGCGGTAATAGGTGTATGGATCTGTGGAAAATGTGCACGGAAATGTTTGTCAAGGATAGAGCTTTTTGCTCATTCTAGGACTCACCATATATATATATATATATATATATATATATATATATATATATATATATATATATATATATATATACATATATATATATGCTAGAAACCATAACTAATGCAGTAATTTATAAAATCTACCGAATTTCTAGCGTTGTTTTGGTGAATGTTGGTAAAAGACCGTAATTAATGCAGTAGCTTATAAAATCTACCGAATCTACCAAATTTCTCAACACTAGAAATTTGGTAGTTTCTATAAATTATAATTCATTTATGTATGTGTAAGTCACAGCAAGCAAGGATATATATATATATATGTATGTATATGTATGAGAGATTTATTCGATCTATCTTTAACACCTAATATTTATCTACAATTTTGTACATTTAAATATTTTTTGAGTGTAGATTTTTTGTAAATACATAGGTGTGAACTTCGATCTTCGATGCTGACATCTAATTATTCATTGTGCCGTGCTGACGTATCTACGAATAACTTTATTATCTGAAACTTTACTTAAAGGATTTTTTCAGAATTGTGTTTTATTCAAAGTTTAATAATTTGAATATAAGCTTACAAGCTAAATAAAAAGACATTACGCAAACATTTCGCCAGATCTCTCACGTTTTAAAAAGTTTGCTGATGCCTGAGTTTGAGATTTTTGGTCGTTCTTGTTTCTTTTCTCTTTTTTTTTATAGAACATTTGCTCTCCTACACATTTCAAGGTCTTGGTAAAATATATTCCCATAAAATTTACAAAATCGTCGGTTTTCGAAAATTTATATATAATCGTAATAGTGAATAATTTTTAATGAAAGGATTTTATTAAAATTATAGATACTTTGTCTTTTTATCTTTGAAAAATTTCAATCAAATATTTTGATATACAACAATTTACATTTTTGTGTTGCGTATGTTTTGTTCAGCAGCAGTTCACAACTTATGCTGGATTTACAAACAGCTACTTGCTGCAATAGAACTCAATGGTTTCTATAAAATAGATTCTAACAATATAAACTTGACCTTGATTTTTAGATTTTCACCTTGCTAGATTTTTCTATGTACAAAAGACACAAACGTTAGATACGTTTTACGATATTACTATTTGCAAACGTTATATATATATATATATATATATATATATATATATATATATATATATATATATATATGTATTCACAAACTATTCATCAATAAATAATATTTTTTCTGAAATTGATCTGTTAACATCAATTTAACATCAATAAGGATATTTGAAGTTTATTGATCGATGAAGTTTATCGCTTATTGTTAAATTCCAATTAAAAATATCCTCACATTTTTTGTGATTATTTGAAATTGATTTGCGATAAGTTATAAAACAAAATAATTACTTCGGTGAAATACTGTATGCACTCCGAAAAAATTTTCATTATTCATTTTTAAATAGTCCCGTTGTCACTAATCTTTCAAACGGTTTCAGTTAATATTCTAATGAACACAACTTTTCCGTTTTCATGAAAACAGTTTGGTAAATTATTTGATCTTGGCAAAAATATTTTTGAAATTTTATTTTAACTATCTGGTCGTTAACTAAAGAAATAATTCGATAAATTGCCAAACAAAATTCGTTCGCATCATTTAAGGTTTTCTTGCATTTGTTTCTTTGTCATTAATTTAATACTATGTAAAAATGGAATATTTAAACAGCAATCATTGATTTTGCATTTATACATTTTAATTTCAACGCTTGGATGACGCCTACGATTAAGTGTTCTTCAACGCTGAAAATAATGTCAACAATAATATTACTATTTGCATTAATTAACTGTAGTATTTTTATTTTTATTACTGCTACACCACCAGTCCTATAAAAACTTCTGTGGCAACATAACAGCTTGTTAGCGCATTTCAATTGACGACAGCGTACCACCTTCGTAGAAGGATTTTATTATAATTATTTTTAAAACAGCCAATAAAATATTTTTCAAATTACAATAAATTTGTTATTAACATTTATTTAACGCTAATTAGTATTTACTGCCATAAAAAGCGATCAAGAATTTTTTAATTGTGCAGCGTTATCACAAATTTGCAAAATTTTATAATTTTTCATATTATAATTTTTTTCTTAAATTTATTTTTTACATGTTATGAAAATAAATTTTTAAAAATTTTCGGAATATAGCGTAATTTTTTCAATATATTTCATTTGTTTTCGTCTAAAATTAAATGAAAGTTTCTAACCATCCAACTGCTTTTATTTTTTGTAAAACTCAATTTTAATTCCATGTATATTATTAGAAAAGTGTCTCTGTATTCATCGTTTTTATTTTGTGATTGTATTTGTATTTTAGAATTTTAATATTGTTCAAACTCTTTAATTTATTTCATTCATTCATTCATGTCTTGTATGATCGTTTAGACAATAAAAACATTTCATCATGTTCAGTTGATTTGTGAAGTTTTAAACAATGTTACGATATATATATATATGATTATATATATATATATATATATATATATATATATATATACAGTGTTGGGGAGTAACAAATTACTTGTAACAAAATTACTGTAACAAATTACTTTTTCCAGTAACAAATAATTGTAACAGATTACTTTTTGTGCAGGGTAGCAAGTAACAGTAACAAATTATTTTTTGCAGTAACAGTAACAAATATTATGCACTTTTGTTCTTCGTTACTTTTTTCAGCAGTGCGTGATTTATAACCATCATTGGTTGTCCTGTTGCGGCTCAGTCGTTCATTAGACGAACCATTTCCATGACTTGCCAATTTAATATTCTATGCTTGTATGCACTTCCTTTTCTTGTTTATGTTTACTCTCAGTCTCAGCATTTCACGTGGTTTGTGATTTAGTAAGTTGCGCGGATTTAGTTGGCATAATGGAAGACGAGAAGGAATTGGATTCAACTGATAATGAAGTAGGCCAAGTAGCTTGGATGGAACAACTGAAGGAATATTTTAACGTAGTTAAAGAAGAAGGAACGAAATAATGCCTGAATGGGATGCAATGAATTATCTACAACACCCAATTTTTATTCCGCAGTCATCCGATGAATTAGCAAATGCTGTCATTTACAACTGAATTGAACAACATACATAACTGAATGGACATTAGCTTGTGTTTGTCTATTTTTTTAAATATTAGCGAAATAATATTTAAAATTGAATGATGTGTGAACTTGTACAGAAGAAGCATCCAAACGTCTTGGAGAAAGTAAAAGAATGCCGGAAGAGGAAGGCTGCAAAGAAAGCCTGCATACAAGCAACTGTGACAACATGCACCCCACTTGGTAGTTCTGTAATTTCGCAGGCGAAGGTCGATCAGCTGGTGACAAACTTCATTGTCGAGTATATGGAGCCAATGAGCATCGTCGAATCTCAACCCTTCATCGAGCTTGTTCAAGGTCTCCAGCCAACAAAGAAAGTTTTGTCGAGAAAAACTCTTAATGGTTAGTTCAATCTCTATAATATAATATGATTTTTTGTGGTTCGTCATATTAATTGCTTATTTTGAACGATGTCAAATAAAAGTAAATACAATCCTTAAGACCCTACTAAATTTGCAACACGCGTCTTTCTGTTTACAGATAAGTTGGACAAACTCGCGGACACGATGAAGGAAAGCATCTGTGCAGCGCTCAGCAAAGTCGATCATGTGTGCACAACAGCGGATATCTGGTCATCCAACAACAGGAGCTTTCTAGGCATTACAGTGCACTGGATTGATCCTGATACTCTGGAAAGACGTTCAGCGGCTTTGTGCTGTGAGCGCATGAAAGGGCGTCACACGTATGATTGCATTGCTGTTAGGTTAAATGCTGTACATACGGCGTATCGTATTAACCACAAAGTACTGATGACAGTAACTGACAATGGTTTGAACTTTGTTAAAGCATTTAAAGAGTTTGCAAATGATGGTAGTGTAGTTAGTGATGATGATGATAACAATGTTGCTTTTGTTGATGTTGATGCATTGCTAAGTGAACCAGAGCATGATGAGGACAGTGACTTATATTTACCCCCTCATCAGCGTTGTGCTGCTCACACATTGAATTTGATTGCTAGTCATGATATAGAAAGTGCAAATAGTGATGCTGTTTACAAAAAACTCTCTCGGTCAACAATGGTCAAGTGTTCTGCATTGTGGAACAAGACTTCACGTAGCACACAATTTGCAGATATTGTGCGTGATAAGTTTCACACTTCCTTCATTGTGCCTAATGCTACACGTTGGAACTCGTACTTTAATGCAGTTGACAAAGTGAGACAGGTCCTTGAAAAACAATCTGAGGACAATATTGCTGAAGTTTTTGTAGCTCTTGAGGTCCCACAATTTCGTCCCAATGACATCCTTTTCTTGAAAGAGTATTGTTGTGTTAAGCTGCATTGGACATACTCCAAGCAGAAACGAAGTGTTTTATTGGGTTTTTGTTGCCAACGTTAATGTCATTGCGTACAAAGTTACTAACAGTAAAACCAACTTTGAAGTTGGCAGCGCCTTTGCTTACTGCTGTTTTATCCGGCCTTGATAAGCGATTTCAAGGTTATGATGAACGTCATGATTTGATCATAGCTAGTGTCACATTGCCTCAGTTTCGTATGAGATGGATTGACAATAACGACAGGAAAAAGATTGCTCGTAGTTTACTGTATGACGAATTGCAGGCTGCTAAACAGCAGCAGCAGGTCACTGAGCCTGATACTGATGACAAGCATGAGTCAGGTACTGTGTCAGATGATGAATTTTTTTCGTTTGCAAATGAACCACGTGACAACGTTGATGCTGCTGCAGAACTTGATTTGTATTTAAGTGATAATTCTCGTGAAATTGCATGCCTGCAAAAATACCCGGGTATTTACCCATTACCTTCAAGTGCACCGGTTGAGAGACTTTTCAGTTTAGGTGGTCAGATACTGGTTCCTAGAAGGAATCGGATGACTGATGAGCATTTTGAGCGTCAACTGCTTTTGCGGGCAAATAAATTATTTTCTGCCAAATAAGTGATTTATGTACATTGCAAATTTAGGTGCTACCAATTACATGTATCTTATTGACTATCTTTCTATGTATTGTATATGTATATTCATGTGCGCACCTATTAATGTTGATATTGAGAATATATGAAAGAGTACTTGCAGCGTCTGTTTACATGTATGCTGTATTGTAGTAACAAAAAAGTAACTTTGTTACTTTTTATAGTAACAAGTAACAGTAACAGATTACTTTTCTATAAATATAACAAGTAACAGTAACAAATTACTTTTTCCCAAAGTAACAAGTAAAAATAACAAATTACTTTCAATGAGTAACAAGCACAACACTGTATATATATATATATATATATATATATATATATATATATATATATATATATATATATATATATATTATCCGTTTTAGACGATTTCACTCGACGGGAACTCCCCTGCTACATGTTCTCTCAAGGGTTTATGCTGAGATGGATGCTCAAAACATTTACTTGTTGGCATTTTTGGACATGAGCTCGGCCTTCGACTGTGTCAATCATGAAATGTTACTGCTCAGGCTGCATCAAAGTTTTTGAATATCTGGAAAGATAATAAATTGACTCAGAAACTATCTGATTGTCCGATAACAGTAGGTTTCGTTCAACGGGATTTTGCCCTACGTCAGTGTGATTCTCTCTGGTGTGCCGAAAGGATCTGTTTTGGGCCCATTATTGTTTCTGCTGATGTGTTGAAGATAATTGATTCTTATGATTTTACAAGCCATGTGTGTTATCAGGTAAACCAAAGTTATATCAATACGACAATACGAGATTCATTAAATGTATGTCTGAGGTTAATCTGTGGATGTCGAGAAATGAATTGTACCTTAATCAGGGTAAAACAAAATAAATTTCTTCATATTGATACCTGGCAGCAGTTGGCAGACTTGGGTATAAATTCCGTTGTTATGAATGATAAAAAAAAAATTCTGTGAAACGGTGTCAAACCTAGGCTTTATAATTAATTCAAACCTAACAATGAAATCTCAAGACAAGAATTTCATTCTAAATATTGAGAAATGTTATTATTATATATAGGCAACATCTCTTCATATATATATATATATATATATATATATATATATATATATATATATTCATTTTTGTTTTCCGGCATCATGGCGTGTAAACAGAATTTAACGATTAACGAAGTTTTGTGCTATTTATTTAATAATTACGAGTTTTTGAACAACGATATATTTATTAACAATATGTCCGACTTCTATAGCTCGGAAGAAATCTCGGCTGCCCTCAAACAGATCAAACACGACGTCAATCTCCTAAATATTGATGTTAATTTCGATACACCACGTGGTCCTAAAAAGAAAGACAAAAAAGACAAACTACGCGAGACCATTCACTATTTAGGGCTAATCCGCGAAAAAAAATTATCAACAGAGCTTCCTACATACTTTAGCTCTAACTTACGGGTACCTAATAACGACTCTATTCTTAAATTTAACTTCAATGAAATGAAAAACGACATATGTAATATGCTGCACAATCAGCAACTCTATCTATGCAGCATGCTGAACGCAGCCCCTCGAGTTCATAAAAGTGAACTTAATACCAACAACACCGACGTAACAATGTTAAAAGCTACTCGG